GACGCTGCAGCTTTCTATTTTGACGTATGGAAAAGAAATTGACGAGTAACTACACGCATACATGTTTTTTGAAAGGGTCGAGATGCGGTGTCAGGACTCATTCAGCAGCGGGAGTCGTGGCGAACGACCGCACAGACTGGAAAATCACGATGTACACGCCGATCACTCTGCGATATGTAAGAAGAAGGTGAAGGAAAAAAGACAAACACAAATATGGTAAAACGGGTAGACTGCAGCTTCGCCTTGTCTATGGCTTTCAAGCGGGTTGCAACAAGGCAGGGCAATGAAGAGAGGCGAAGGCGAGGCGGGCGGGCGGGCGTATTCGGCGCATTCCGTGTCCGTTTGGCTTCGTACAAAGCAGCTCAACCTAATCCCGTTGCTCAGGTTCTCAGGCGTATTTCGATGCGGACGTACGAAGTTGGTTCGCTGTACTGTAGGCACGGAGCATCATGTCCCGCAACTCCGTACGTACATTGAACAACCCGTACGATCGGACTCGTACGAGGCTGTACATCGTACGGAGGACACACAAGTTACGTGTAATGTGGCAGGGCACCCGAGGAGTCGGGATGGGTGCGAAGGAAGAGAAGGGCTGGGTTAGGCTAATAGATCCGATCCTCTGGGAATCCCGAATCCCTTTGCCTACGTTGTTTCCCGTCTCTGATGTTGGTTGGTGCCATCGGCTTCGTGACATGTGTAAGCGGTGTTCTGCTGGTGGGAGTCTTTCCGTGGTGAGGCGGCATCTATCCGCTCGAGACGGAGCGCAAAGCCCGTTAATCTTGCTGATGTGTTATGAGAATAATCATGATGATGAGATACAAAGCACTCATTCCATAACGATAGCTGTGCCGTGCTCATGTAAGTCCAAGTGCAGGCTCGCGCCTCTCTTGTCCGCTCCAATCACAAAACCTCAAGAAGATTTACAGTCCGCTTTCTACGGAGTACAGAAACATCATTCAACCAGCAGGAGTTGGTATCTAAGTTCTCAACTCCTGAATTGCCCCTCAAACGTGCTTCTACGCCCCATGCCCATTACACGTATAACTGCAGCGCAGTAATTCCATACATGAAAAAAATGTACGATAACTTCCTACATGAGCTGATGATCGTTCTTCTCTCCCACCGCATCTATCGTAAATCGCACACACACACACGCCCCCCCGCAGATAAAAATTCCCACAACACAGAAATTTAAAATCCTTTGAATATTTTATATAATCATCCGCCCTCCTTCTGTTCACACCCCCCGGCGTTCGGAGTCTTGCGAAGCTCCGTGGCCCGGACCCAAGGAACCGACTTTGATGCCGCCGGCCCTTGCTTTCTGTAAGGAGGAACGAATGGGAAAAGATGAGAAGATTGACAGGAGTACCAACTGCTACCATTTGACCACCCCGGCCGGCCTGTGAGATTTCCGATGCGGGATGCGATGCGATGCGATGCGCGATGGCGCCCTTTGCTGTTTGGTGTAGCTACGAATACCTTAGACGGCAATCTGACCTCGGAGTTGACATGACCTCGGAGTTGGAATGCCCGCGCCTTGCGTCCAGGCACAGAAAGCTTGTAGAACATTAAAATGGCCATCTACAATACGACCTTGGATTCATGATCAGGGGGGTGTCTTATATTCCAAAGACTAAAAGACTGAAAGAAGACATAAAATCTTGAAGAGCAGGAAGGGATACTCCTTTTATGAATCTTGTCCGATCTGGTCTACCTCTGTCTTCTTCTTGCAATAACTCATAGATTTGTGCGCGCAGCTGTTTATATGTGGCCTTTACTTTGCTTTTGACTCGGAAGTGAATGCGTGCGAGACCGTTGATGCACATAGACTCCAGGTGATGTAGAAAAGTCCGTCGCCCTGGGAAAAGCTGCGTGTTTCACGCAAAGGGCAAAAGACCGCGGATATTGCGGGTCTTGCGGGTGCGGGTCGATGGGTTCTGTGCTTTTGTTCTCGGACATATTGAAGCCTGGTCCGCTCTTAAAGGTTGGGTTATAATACGCGGATCGAGATGCTGGTGGATGCATCTCTTAAGGAGTATCTCTTCGTGCCTCTGTGCCATATCTTCAGGAGAGGTGGCATGATATGCTTCTCATAGACCACAATACAGCCTTCGAAGCTCTGTTGCCCGACGGCCGAGAAAGATCTACTTGATGACCGATTGCCCAGCTGTCAAGGTGAAAATCGAATCAAGCATTTGCCTTATTCGATCAAAAGCTCCATGTCAAGAATGGAACCCTCGCACAGGTCCCAATTCACCAATAGCATGCCGCCAAGTTCATGGGGGCAATGAGGTCAAGCCCACGGTTATGGTCTCCATACGCACATCGATCCTGGGCCGTGACAATATTTCCGAATTTGGGGGGGTTGGCTCTTTGCATGTAATTCCTTACTCCGTGGCCGAGAGGGCAGATGATGATACTAGTTTGTCAGCTCTAATAATCCATATACCCAGTCTGCCCCCCTCGATATACTACTACACGTAACTCATCCCCTTTTCAATTTGTTCTTTTCGTATGCTCCTACAAGGCCCCCCCTTCTTTCTCTAGCTACTAACTAGTGCTCTTGCCATTGTGGTTTTTGCTCTCGTGTGACCTTGGAGAGGCAGACAGTCCGGTGGGTGTTTTATCTCCGATGGAGTCGCATCGGTCACATCGTTGCTGCCGGACTTGTGATGGGCATAACGGACCGGGGATAGTAGCCCGCCCTTTATTTTTTGTCGTTTTCTTTTTTTTCTTTATTGCCTTTTTGTCTTTCGCCGTGCATACTCCGTGGACCTTTCACTTTCTTCTCCCATTGGATTCGTTTACACGTAATTATGGCCCTATGTACATTTTGAATATTCATGTACCTCGCACTCCCCCAGACTCCTTTCGATTCGATTTTTGTGCGTATCCGTATTTACATGTAAGTACCTCGTGAGATGCATGGCTCGCAAGGCAGCAGCGGGAGGGGGTGTGAAGTGAAGAAGAGAGAAACGAATACCGCCAGACTCACTTTGCATCTTCTGACTACTGGTTATTATTATTGTTATTTTATTTTATTCTTTTTTCGTTTACAAGTACGAAGGCTCATATTGTGTCTGGGTTTCGTCTCCTGGCGTTGGATGACAAACCATGCCGTGCTTGTTGACAAACTCCGATTAACACTGACCATTTCCCCAAAGCGGACGACGATGCGAGAAAGCTTTCCCACTTTCCCACTCCCCCCTTCGTACAGTGCCTTGAGCAATTCATAGTGCAATTTCTCGTAGAAAGAAAAGAAACCGCTGACAAAGTGGCCTAGCCTTGTAGGGCTATCAATACGAACAGCGCCCGCTTTGCTCAGGTAGACAATGTCAAGACTTGTGAGAAGGGGGTCTCCAGGCCAGGTACGACAAATGTAGCGCAGGTGAGAAGCAGAAGAAGAAAAGTGGTGATGTCAAGCTCCATCCACCGTGAAATCACAGCCTTGTCAACAACAATTTGGATGGGTAGATTAGTAGATAAAGCTGATAAGTGAGATTTTTTGGGTCTCTAGTGCGTGTTGGAAGCATCTTTGGGATTCTAACCCAGTGACTCGCCAAGCCAACCTAACGCACATTCGCTAATGTGAAGGCTTGTGTCTACTATCACATATAGAGACGGATTGGATTCTACATACGACGATGTTGTGGCTGGGGGGGAGGCTTAGAGGGCCTTTCAGTCACAAAACGTCCATCCATACATAGTACGCATACAACAACACGCACGAGATGCGATGCCAATCTGGCGATGTACTACTACTATGTGCGCAATCGAACAAGGGCTTTGACTCGTACCCCCCTTGGTTCAAAATCCTGGGTACATGCTCCGTAGTACATACATTACGCACGCCGTACTAAGGTAAGGTATGTAGTAGTAGTACTATGTAGTCTGTAGTCTGATCCTCGACGGATTCCATGACGTGTCGATACCGATGTGTGATGGCCAACGAGCTTACTGCACGAGGTGGCCTGTAGGATTCGGCATACCTTAGCAGAGCTTAAGCTATGTATGTATCCCGACAGTTCAAATCTCACACGGAAAGAAAGGTTGTGTGGCTGGCTGGAGTACGTAGGTAGCTATGTAAGAGAAACAAGAGAGGCTACTTTTTGCGTGTTGCAAGGATTCCCAGCTAACATACCTTACCTTACCTAGGCTCGATAATACATGGACCATTTGTATGTAAGCCCTACGTGCCGCTTGAAAACCCATGAGTTGGTCGACCAGCAGATGGAATCATTGCAGCCACCCCTGCAGAAGGTAGCAGCAAAATTACAAAAAGAGTAAAATAAAAGGTGGAATGTGTTGCTTGAAAGGTGGCATCCTGGTGCCAAGAGATCTATTCAGAAAAGCTCTGTTTGCTTGCTTCGGTTCCACTGAACGTCGTCACAGAAAAAGAGGCTCCCAATTATACTTCAATCGATCCCGACCCAAGGAAAAAAGCCAATCCCCCTTTCCACCTCCCAAAGCCCATACATCCTGTCCTCCGCTTCCCTCCCTTTGGATATGTACCAAAACCAGAACATTCATACATGAATAGAAAGAATAACACGTGAAGCATGAAGAAACAGAGAACCTGTCTATATGAAGAATCCGAGCCACACCACGCTTGACATGAAACCGAAACGCCATTATACACCCCCCGAACGAAAAAGACTCCTGAGAATGAAGATGCAAATGAAAGAAGAGAATGAGAAAACGAATGAAGGTATGGCGAGGGTGTGAATGATGGTGAAGTATGATGTGAAGATGATGTTAAAAGCGAATGTATGCGCTTCGTTCACTGCCACTCTTGCCCAGAAAGAAATTGCGGCTCATGGCTCATGTGGATTGAAAGCCTCCTCTTACAACCCGGGGGTATTAAGAGTGCATCGTGCCGCGTCGACTCTCAAGCACTTGCCCCCATGGGTCATCGAAAGTCCAATGTAACTATTCTTCCTCTTGTTTATTTCTTCTTCTTTCGTCCCTTTTTTTTTTTCTTCCGCGATGGTCGACACATATTATATCGGGACCAGGTCGACATCGTAGGTGCTATACAGCAACGGATCGTTCATGCCCATCATGACGCCGCCAGGGTTCGACAGAGCCTGAGGCTTAATCGTCTCGTAGCCGTCCATCATGGGCTGGCCCATGTGCATAGCCTGCTGGAAGTACTGCATCGCCGCGACGTCGCCCGACGCCGCCGTCTTGAGCGCCCAGTCGGGGAACATGGGCAGCTGGGGCGAGTTGGCCGTGTTGAAGAGGGCGGCCGAGGCGTCGAGGTCCGACGGCGCAGACTGGCTGAACTCGAACTCGGTGCTGCTGCCGGCGTAGCTCTGCGGCGACATGGTGAGCGTCTGGCTGCCGGTGTTGTTGTGGCTGCCAAAGGCGGCGCGTCGGTAGTCGACGGGCTCAATGTCGGAGTGGTCCAGGTCCGAGGACGAGGCGCGGTCGGTGCGCCGGTGGTAGGCCGAGGGCGAGTCGCCGTCCATGTCCGCGTCGCGGTCCTTGTGCTGCGCGTCGGCGTGGTGCTCGTTGAGCTGGCGCGCCAGCTCCTCCAGGTCCTGCGTGTTCTCGGGGAAGATGGAGTGCACGGGCAGGTCGATGTCGCTGTTGGGGCGGATGCAGCCCAGCTTCTGCGCGATGTTGTGGATCACGGGCTGGCCGCGGTCGTTGAGCTCGGGCTCGCCCAGGTCCCACGACTGGTTCGTCCGGACCATCTGGTAGAGCTTGTGGACGGTAGCGATGAGCGCGAACTGGGTGTTTTCGAGGACTTCGGCGTATCTGCGAAATCACCCATGTCAGTCAACAGACCTCTTTCGACTAATACCAATAGTCTCGTGTGGTTTCGAGGACTGCTTACCCTCGAGGCAACTGCTTGTATTCCATCTTCTTGCGAACACCGGCTGTGCAGACGAGGCCGTCGTCCTTGCACCTCTTACACGGGAACTCACCGTCGCACTGTGTGAATAACCTCCAAGTCAGCAAACCACCACCTTGGTCAAGTGTAATCTAATGTAGCACAACAGGGACGGCAAACATACCTTTGTCTTCTTCATTCGACACCTCTCACAGGCCTTCCAGACCCGCTTATGCCTCCCATCCATGCCGTGCGTGACCTGCTCATGGTGGTGGACGGCGGCGGCACCCGACCCGGCACGCTTGGACGCTCGATTCGTGCCCTTGACCGGCTTTGTATTTGAGCCAGTGCTTTTCCGGTTCATCGTGCTGGCGGGCGGAGAGTTTGAAGATTTGCTGTCCTCTGAGGGAGGAGAGGGTAGGCTATGTGCGACCATTTTTGTGGCTTTGGAAGACTGATGGTTGGGTTGCTGTTGCTGTTTTTTTTTTTTTTTTACTTGTCGTGGGTGACGGGGCACCACATGTAGAAGGACGATGTGCTTTGTGCTTTGGGTCTGGGCTTCTTTCGTATGTGTTTTGTATAAGACGTTTATATAGATATAGATATGAAGGTGACGAGGTCTGTATAATGCAACCGTTGACGAGATGAGTGAGTTAGACGAGATACGGATGGGACGTGGTATCCTCAAGCAAAGATCAAGTCGAGTCCAAGATTATATCTGAGCTTGTTCTGGAAGAACTGGAAACCAGAGAAGGAAGCAGAGGGAAAAGTCGAGTAAAGAGGTAATAGAGCAGAGTCCCCCCCGACCCAGCGCAACGGGACGGTCAGAATATATACCAGGCAAGGTGCGTTGACAAGCTTCTGTCTAAGATGCTCGTCGTGCTGAATAATGGGCGAAGGAGCGTGGAGAGCGCCGCGGTGGGGCCTCTTGGTTCTCTTCCTTTCCTGTCCTGTCCAAGGCGGGTGGGTTCCAGGAATCTGCTGTGAGCTGACTTTGAGCAAAGGACGCATCAACGACCCCCTCGGAGGGTTTCTAGCTCCAAAGTATCCCAAGACAAGAACAGCAGTGGCTTCAGGTGCTGGTGTGTGGTGCATCGACGGTGCCGCAACTCCTGTGGGATGGCGCCCCAAGCGTGCGCTTCTGGTACCTTGTACCTATTTCCGGCTGCGGATCGAAGCAGAGCGATAAAACAGGGTCCGGGGCGTGTCGTTAGCACTCGGCAACGGCATTATGTCCGAGGACGCGAGAGCCCGCTAGACCGCAGGGGCGGGTGGCCCTTAGTCCTCTTCGGGAAGTGTATGCTCCCCAAGCGGCCTAGCAGCCTCTGGCAGCATGGCTGGACGGGCCCACCGAGAGGCGTGGCCTTAGTGGGCAGCTGGCTGAAAGCTTGTGTTGCAGGTACAAGTACGGGCGGCTCCAGTGCGTGGCCGGGCGAGATGCAGGTATCGCGACCGAACCGCAGCGAAAGCCCTGGGCTCCTCCGTCCGTGGGCGGCAGATGAGAGAATGATGGCATCAAGAGACGGGCTTGTGCAGTGGTTACCAAGCAACCAGTCACCGCAGCTGGGCCCCAGTTGTTTTTTTCTTTCTTTCTTTCCTCTTCACTCCATTGCCGCGGTCTTCGTCGGCAATCGGATTCCTTTGGTCCAGTCGACCAGCTGCGGCTAATGCAGAGACAATGTTGCTTTCAAGCTTTTTGATGCCCAGAGCATAACGACCCAAGGGCTTACTCTTTGGAAACGTTCCTGTAAGAGAGAACGTTGAAGCATTGCCATAACGGCTACCTATGATTGTGCGATTACGAGAAGGCGTAATCTTGGGCAGGGCAAAGCGAAAGCGAAAGAGTCACTCCTGCTGCTTGTTCTGCTTAGCCCCAGCTGGGCTGCTCGAAATAGCCAGGGTCTCCCGTCAAGTTCTTTTCCAGTCTCGGGCGCTCAAGCTAGGCGTTTCTGCCCATTCCAAAGTCCGCGCCGAAGTAGCAGGCGGACTTGAGCTGGGCCAAGTCCCGTCCTTTTGGTGCTGTCGGGCTGTCTGTCATAATGGGCCAAAAAAGTGACGGGGACGGACGAACGAACGCGAGGAGAGCGGCAGCAGTGTGTACTGTAGCAGGCGGCGTGACGTTTGACGCTGGGAAGCATCATGCACCACTCATCCTCCATTCCAGCAACGCACAAGGGAAGTGCCGAGCCTGATAGTTTTCGTAGTAGGAGCTCCGAATGATGTCTGTGACTCCATTGCCGAGATATGGGCATCAAAAGCCATTCAGCGCCGCGATCGGTTGCGGATGGCCTCTCGTTTCCTCATTCTGAAAAGGCTGTAAGAAGCAAGCGCAATTAGTAATGTTGCCTTGTGTGACACAATCATCCATCGAGTTATCACAAAAAAACTGCATCACAAGAATGTAATGCGGAACTGCGCAACCCTTCCTCGGCTCATTGCCGAACTGGGCTCTCGGCCATGCAGATTGCTTATACGCAGCAACACGAAAGCTCGCATTCGCTGCTGCTTTCCCAGTTGGGCTGTGCCGGAAGGATTACCGCTGGATTATGCGATGGAGGGCCCGAGGCCGATCAGATAAGCAGTAGGGATGGAGGAGGGAGATGAGGCTGGCTGCCTGTCATCGTAAGGCGGAGGTTACCGCATCGTGAGAAAAGGGAATTCACGTACATGGACTGTTTTTGGTGAAGGAGATTTGAAGCTTCGCTTCGTTCTCACGCCCCCTTCCCTCCCCACCGGTTGCTTGAATCGGCAATTCGACGATTCCCCGATCGTTATGGCTCTGTTCCTAATCATGTTGCCGTATGGAGGGGGCCCCTCATTGCAAAATGAGCTGCAGACTGCGATGGGACGCACGCTGTGGTCGGGCAAAGTTGCCCTGACAGAGACAGGAAAGTGGACAAAACAATGATGCTGATTAATGGCAGCAAGGCAAGAGGAATTCTCAGGCAGCGGTTAAGCAAGAAGAAGCTGCTCGTGCTGCACTTCTCCAGCACGAGAGGGCAGAAGCATGCAGTTGACCTCTTGCTGTACTGTACAGTGTGAGGAGGGAGTGGATCCCCATCCTCTACGGCCACCTGCGGGCTCTGATTGGCCAGTCGCAAGCAGACGAGCTGTTCTAAGCCCTATCAGAGGCGGCACCTTTTTGCGTGAAGCTGTCTGGTCTGAGCAAAGCAATCTTTTGCCCAAGACAGTAAAAGGTGTTTGATCGGACGCTATGTGATCATTTCTGCTGCCTGCTGTGCGCAAATACGTACAAGTAGATAGAAGCTGCCAAGGGTGCAGCTGGGGGATGTCGATCAAGGCGACGTCCGGGGATGCAGCAGCATTACAGTATGTATCTGGTGATAGAGACACAGAGGGGGGAGGGGGCTCTGCAGCGACTCATCAGAGACGGTACCTGGTGATGGGTAAGGTGTGGCATTGATGCCTTCAATGTGTTCCACCAGCGAGATGCAGACGAAGTGTCGCGGCGCTTCAAGCCCCTGGAATTGGCGAGCATGCGCCACCGAAGCTTACCCTTAGTACTTGTACACCTGCTTGGAAGGGTTTTACGGAGGGCGGTGGTTGATTCGTTGCTGAGCGCGCGCGCTTGTGAAGCCATCATGACGATGACGGCTGGAAGAACATGAACATTAAGAGACCAATAGCACAATGCCCAATAAGCAGCGGCAATGATCATTTGTCGAAAATGCTACTGCTCGCATGCATGATGGTATGCGATTCGCTTCTGCCAGCATCCAGGACCGGCGCCCAATTGCCCGTCTTCTTACCGCTGCTAGCCCGAGGTGCGAGGACTGGCCCGAGTTGCATGTTAAGGCGTGATGCTATTACTACCTGTAGGCACTCATTTTCTTCTTCACTGGTCTGGTCTGGTCTGGTTTGATGCATGCCCGCTCCTTCGTTTGCCTCTGCCGCTATTCCATGCCGACTACCTAACTACCGTTGTTTTGATCTGCTTCGCAACGACAAGAATCAGCTGATGTCCAGATCAAATCGACAATTCGATCGAGACGAGATAATACCTTACCTTGCCTTTTGAGTTTCTGCCATCTAAGTACGTACTTCCCCGTGTAAGTACCTACATGTCGGCAGTTCTACGCAGGACTCGCCAAGTAGCCACCCCCCGCCTCTTGTGAGTTCTCCCATGTATCATCATACAACCTCAAGATGATCGTTTGCCCGGCAATGCTCGTGGCTTGCGGCCTGGCGGTGCTTCGGCCTTCGGGCGCGGCATCGGGGATGGGGCGCTGCAGATGCACCTTGCATGGGGAGTCCAAAGTGCAAAGGTGGAGACGCAGGTCGCCCGAGCGGTGGGCGCAAGTCCACTGGCCGGCGACGCTACCTGGCCTGCCGCAGGTGGCTGCATTCCAGCCCGGGGTATCGCAGAGGTAGCCGTGACGGCGTCGGGCGTGGGCAGTGACTCTGTCATCTTTTTCACTCCCGGTCAACCGTTTCGACTTACTCACCACTTCTCACTCACTCACTCACTTGCTCACCGTCGACACCTCACTTCAAGCTTCAACTCAAATTACAAATAGTTTCCTCATTGAAGGCAACAATTACAGCCTGTCTCTCGCCCGTCTCACCAACGCATTGGTGTCGGTTCCTTCTCATGTCCCAAACAAGAATCCACCGAGGATCGGATGCCGAAACCCCTTCCCGCCAACTATCCATCTTGCATCTCGTGTACCCCTTGGCCTAAAAAACCACACAGGGCTTATATGAATGATATAGTGCATCTACAGGTCAAGATGTTCTGCGCCTGTGACGTACAATTTGCCTTCGCTTACGCCGAACGAACGACAATCTGTTCTGGTTTTGCCTTGAATCAATTTATTCCAACTTGGAATTCTGTCGAACCCAAGAGGCTGAAATAGTTAATACTTACTACTACTATCTATCTGCGGAGCCGTTGCATACCTTTCAAGTAGCATCACAATCTTGAAGATAGTTGGTCACCGTCTTTAGCGGCGCGCATCCGTGCCGCAAACGTCTGGCGCTATGATACATGTCGGCAGATGCGATAGTCTGCGGCAGGGCGTTGCTTTCTTCTCTCAGCTTCTCTTCTCTCGTTATATCTCGGCTTTCCCTACGAACTAATCGCCTTTAGTGATACACCATCCAACACATTTGGATGGTGGGAAGAAAGAGGGCCACCACCGCTAGTTTGTTTGCTTGTGTGTGTGGTGGTTGTTTAATTCCGGTTCCCGTTGGCGCCATCGAAGAAAGTGAAAGGGCACACCCTCTTTTTTTCCTTCCCCTTGTTTTGTGTCAAACTTTTGGTGCCATGCAAGGCCCTTTGCTGGCCACACCGACTAATGATTGTTTACTTTGTACTGCTAGAGTCAAGTAGAGCTTCGCTACAGATGCCGACTGTTCACCGGGCTCGAGGTGGCTGGATGCATGGTGGCTTGCTATGTGTGATGCTGCAAGCAA